GAAATGACTACTCAGAGAGATCTTCCAGATGTAGCTGGCTTTTGGGTTTTGAATCTGTTGCAAGATCCTACCTCTTCAATTTATTGGGCATGACAAGTTGCTATTTGGTCTAGACCCTGGTTCTTTGGCACTTGGGTATAGTGTTGTTTATGATCCTCTGGCAATCTCAGTCATGGCTTACCAGTAAGAACACTTATGTCCAGGGCCAGGGATTTAGCTCAGTGGTTACGGTGCCTGTTGCACAAGCACAAGGACCCGAGTTCGATCCCCAGTACCAAAAAAAAAAAGGTGTGGTTCAACTCTGAAATTTATGGGGCTGGGGATTTAGCTCAGTGGTTTCGCCGCCTGCTGCGGAAGCGCAAGGACCGAAGTTCGATCCCCAGTACCAAAAAAACCCCCCAAAAAACACTTATGTCACCTTGGCTGAAGTACAGTGAGCAGTAACAATAGCATCAAGCACAACCTAGAAAATGACAAACTGGTAACTATTAGTTGCCACCTTTAACCATATGAACTAGATTTGTTGTTATATAACAAAATCTCAAACAAACCAGAAAATAGTATATGGTGAATGTGTCCTCAGTATGGCTATTTTATCCTCGGAGAAAATTTAAAAGGTGTTAAGGGGGAAAAAATAGAGAAATAGAAGAAGAGGAAGAGATTAGAAACAAGGCTGGAGGGCAAAGGAAGATTATGCAAACTTTGGGAAACTGGTGAAGAAGATAGGAGAGAGAGAAGGAAGAAATAAGAACAACAGGGGCCAGGGATTTAGCTCAGTGGTTCGCCACCTGCCTCGAAAGCACAAGGTCCCAAGTTCAATCCCGGTACCAAAAAAACCCAACAAAAATCCTAGAAATAATGTTTGCATTCATATAAAAACAAAAACAAACAAGAAAAAAGCAAACAAAACAAAAACAAATAAGAAAAAAAAGGTCCACTTCAAGGTGTGTCTCTCCTGTCACTGATAGACAAAATGAGCAGAGTCTAGATCCATGTTGATTAAGCCCAGCAAGCTAGCCTTAGATTTACGTGGGGTAGTGTGTAATCCCAGAAAACCTGTGCTTTTAGTTCCATTGAAGTTCAGGCTGGTTTCTGGCTGTGATGCTGGAACCTGATTTATTCAGCCTTCAGCACTTCATATGCCTCCTGCCAAATTGAACTCGGAGAGCCACTGCCTTGTTGTTGGGGTATAATAAGATTTAGATTAACCCAGGGCCTTCACATTGAACTACATCCTCAGCTCGTTTAAAAATTTTTTTATTTTGAGACAGAGTCTTGCTAAGTTGTTAAAGTGCCCAGGCTGGGCTTGAACTTGTGGTGTTCCTGCCTCAACCTCTCAGAGTACAGGGATTACAAGCATGTAGTACCACATCCAGGTTAAAGCTCCCCTCTCCACCCTTTTTGAGACAGGGTCTCCCTGTGTAGTTCAGGCTAGCCATGAACTTGCTGTGTAGCCCAGGCTGGCCTCAAACTTACTGAAGTCCTCCCACCTCTGTCTCCTGAGTACTGGGTTTACAGATGCCAGGCTCAGTTTAAAGTGTTTTTAAGTAGAGAGTTGATATGGTCAGATTGTATTTTAGACAGATGACCCTAGGGCAGTGGTGGCCAACCTGAGGGAGCAGGCTGTTTATATCATTGAAAGCTCTAAAAGGTTCACCATCACTGCCCTAAGGGTGTATAGTGGATAGATGTTAGCAGGCCAAAACTAGATTTAGAGAGAACTGTTGTATTTAGTTCAGGTAAAAGTGCTGTGTAGAGAAGTGTGGTAGTAGTGGTGGTAAAGAGGAACATAAAAATAAGTAAAAAATATTGAGGCGATAAACTTAGTACGGGATAGTGCATTGATTTGATTTAGAGGAAGAATGAAGTCAAAGTTGATTACCATTTAAAGCATTTGTAACATTTTAAAAAATTAAAAAAATTTTTTTTTCTGGTACCAGAAATTGAACTCAGGACCTTGCGCTTGCCAGCCAGATAGGGCACCACTGAACTAAATCCCTGGTCCTGCATTTGCAGCATTTTTAAAAGAAATATTCTTTAAAGAGCTTTGGATGTAATCTATGCTAGTGACATACTCGATACCTTGGAAGTATGATATTTCCATAAAAATGAGAACTAAGACCTGAGATAGTTTTAATCTCTCTAAATTTATAGGTCCTTGAAATTTTCTCTGTAGTTGGAGGTAATTTATCTTTAAGGAAATACCATTATATAGAAAACTCAATTTAGCTCAAGTCCAAAGAGCCAGCTAGCTTTAATAATAGTTTTATTGTTTGTATGTTATATCTTTATTTTGAGATGTGAGTTTGTAAGATAACAGCACCGTCTTAATACTATAAAATTTTGAAGGGCTGAATCATTAAAGACAAAATTTGTCAGCATTGTTATATTCTGTTTTTTAAATTAAATTTTGATATCCTCATCACCTGTTCAACATTTTGGGTAAATCTTAGCTCCCTATTTTTAGATTTGTCAGTTTTTTTTTGTTTGTTTGTGTTTTTTTGGTGAGATAGGGTCTTACTGTATACTTCAGACCAGCCTTGAGCTCACTATGTAGCCCAGGCTGGCCTTGAACTGGAGGTGATTGTCCTGCCTCAGCCTCTGGAGTGCTGGGATTACAGGCGTGCACACCATGCCTGGCTTTTTTTTTGTTTGTTTCTTTCAATTTTTTTTCTTACATTTTTTTGGGACAGAGTCTTACTATGTAGTTCAGGCTGGGTTTAGGCAGTCCTCAAACTCAAGGTGATTCTCCTGCTTTAGCCTCCTGAGTGTTGGGATTACAGGTGTGTGCCACCATCTCCACTTCAGCTTTTAAAATATATTGTTTTGCCATTCAACTTTATAAAAAGGGGAAAAATTAGGTTGAAATTGGACAATTTGAGTTTTTAAATTTTTCTCTGGATTCTTAATAAAATGACTGAATGGTAGGAAATACAGTCTGCTGTGCTTAATAGTATTTTAAATCCTTGTCCTGAGTTGTCATTATACTTGTCACTCAGACTGTTGCAGGGCTCACCAGATCTCCCCACTAAAGACATTTGAGAGATAATACTTGAACTGAATCTTGAAGAATGAATAATCGGAGGTAGGTGCAGTGGTACACATCTGTAATCCTAGCTACTCTGAATACTGAGGCAGGAGAATTCCAGTTCAAGTCCAGCTTGGGGAACTTAGTGAGACCCTATCTTACAAATAAAATTTTAAAAAGACTGAGAATGTAGCTCAGTGCTCTTAGGTTCAACCCTCAGTACTACACCACACCTCACACACACTCCCATAAAAAGGAAAGAAAGGAAAAAAGATTACATAATTGGAGCACACATGGGAGATGGTCATTTTTAGGTACTAAGAACAGCAACATAATTGAGACTAAAAAGCATGAAAGACTGTTGTGTATATACTGATAAGTACGTAATTTGGCAGAGAGGATTTTAAGATATTAGGAAAAGTATATTGATAAAATTTGTACATTATATTCTGTGTAAGTTGTAGTAGCCACTTTGGAAGTCATTAAGTGTAGGAGGTAAAATTGTGAATGAGTGGTATGGTGAGAGGGAAATTTAGACAATTCATATTTGTACCTTGAATAACTAAGTGGAATTGAGAAACTGACTGTCATTAGTTGTAGTAGAGACTAAGAAAAAAAGTTGTACAGGATATTACGTAAAGCAGCCAGGTGGAATTTTCTGAACCATTTCTCAAATTTTCATGCCAAAAATTTGTCACAAGGTTTTTACTGTCTTTAATGGGTTCTGTCGATGGAAATACAAAGGGCACAGTGGCAAAATATGGTATTTTAGAAATGTTAGTTTAATCCTAACTGGGCACTCAAAAGACTTCTTTTATGTCCTGACTCACTTTTTCAACTTTTTTTTTCTTTTGGTACTGGGGATTGAGCTTGGGACCTTGCACTTGCAAGGCAGGTGGCGGAACACACCTGGCCCTCAACTTTTTTCTTAACTGCTTATATCTCCTTTAGTTCATTCTTAGGAATATACTGTACTTCCTGTTCTTATGCTACTTTCACTCTGTATCCCCTTCCCTTTATCTGTCCTTAAAATCTGCCAGACAGACTTTCCTAGTTTTTTGTCTGGAAGAAACTTTGCTCTGAATTCATGGTATAGTACCTATAACCTTTCTCTTGTTACAGCTCATATATGATGTTTTATCTGATGTATCAAATGAGTTAATGCATTTAAAAAGCCTAGAGACAATACCTAGCTTGTAGTACGTAGTAATTGTTGGCTTACTATGTTCATAATAAACATGATTAAGATGCGATGATAATAGTAACAGAGTTTACTTTTTACTTTCTTGTGATGGCAAAACTGATTGGTTCTCTATGCTTGGACACTAGGAAAAGTCTTTTTTACTTTGCTTATGTGTGTAAAAGTAAAATTATTGTCTTTGTGCTACTTCAGTATTCCTGTACTGTAGTGAGGGAAAGCCAAGGGTGGACAAGCTGTGGTTTTATTTTTTTTTTAATTTCGCAATCTTAGGAATCCAACTCAGGGCCTTACAATGCCAGGCAAGTGCAGTACCACCAGCTTACCACTCCAGCCATTAGACAATCCCTTAACATTTTTTCATTAAGTCTCACTACAACTAGTTGAGGCAGGTTTTAGCCCCTATTTATTTATTTATTTTTGGTACCAGGGATGGAACTCAAGACCTCACACTTGCCAGGCAGGTGCTGTGCCACTGAGCTAAATCCCTGGCCCTAGCCCCTTTTTATAAATGGGTAAATAGGCTTTAAGATATTTGAAAATTCACGCAAACTCACACACTTGGTAAGTGGCCAGGTTTTTTTTCGTGTGTGTGTGGTGCTAGGGATCAAACCTTACACGTGAGGCAAGTACTCTGCCACTAAGCTACATCCCCAGTGCCTAGGATGATGTTTGAACCTTGGCTGTTCGACTCCAAAATTCTACACAGCAGGGCTTCAGATAGGTCTTCCTTCCTTTAGTGCTTTCACATCATTTCTGTATCTAATTAATTACCTGTCAGAGGACCCATCGTAGGGCTCTCAGTTAGAAAGGTGCTTTGCCGCAACCCCCAACCCAGGGAATGTTCAGCTACATCACCAGTCCCCCACCACTTCTTCCTCTCTTCCCCCTCCCTCCATCCTTTCCAGTTCTGAGGGTTGAATCCAGGGCCTTTGCACTGAGCTATACCCCCAATACTTTAATTTTTTTTGAGACAGGGTCTTGCTAATTTGCCAAGTTACCCAGGTTGGGCTGAAACTTGTGATCCTCCTTCCTCAAGTCTCCCAGAGTGCTGGGATTACCGTTGTATGACACCATGGCAAGCAATTTTTTTCTTTTAAATTTTATTGTACCTATTTGTGTATATGTTATTACAGATATGACAAAATATCCACATAACAACTACTGTAATTTATAGATGTTAACATTCTGTTATATTTCGTTCAGAGCTTTTTTTTAGGTACTGGGGATCAAACTCGGGTCCTTGCGCTTGCGCAGCAGGCGGCGAAACCACTGAGCTAAATCCCCAGCCCCCAGAGCTTTTTTAAATAAGGCATTGTCACAGTTATAATTGATTTTTGTTGTTGTTGTTTTTTACAATCCCATTCTCTTCCTTTTGTCCAGTGGCAAATTTCCACTTAAAGTTTATATATATCCCCTTGTTCCATGTTTTTATACTTATATTAAACATGTATGTATCCATAAACAAGGTATAATGTTTTGTATTGTTAGAATTTGCATGTTACCATACTATATATTATTCTACAACTTATTTTTTTTAACCTAACAAAAAATATATATTATTGGTATATATATAGGTCTAGTTTATTGTGATGTGTAATTCATTAAATGATTATATCATAGACATTGAGGTTGTTTCTAACTTTTCACTGTTACAGGCGATAATTGAACTAAACATAAGGTATTTGCACATGAGATGGAATGATTTATTCTTGCATTGCAGAATTTATCCTCATGTTAATGGATATAAAATAATTGTATTTTTTTGATTTGGATTAAAGAGCATGGATAATATTGTTGGCATCAGTGTTATACCATAAATTCTTAAATTTTGTTCTGTTTTCTTAAAGTTTCTTAACCATTCAAACCTGTATTTATCTGTCAGTATGTAGCTAAGGGTTGCATTCTGGCAGCCTTTGTAGGCCAGACTCAGTTTATGAATATATTTCTCTTGGCTTTGGTTAAAATTTTTTTTTGAGCCAACATTTAAAAATTAGCTATTTTGCATAAAGTCTATTTTGGGGTTATTCTGAAAATTTAGAAGAAGCTCTGGCACTAGTTGTCCCAAACTGAGTCACAGCTAGCCTCCTTTAGATAAGCATGATTTTCCAATGAAACAAGTTCCTACCTCTTCCTGATGCTATGTATTTTTGTTGGGGGGTTTTTTTGGTTTGTTTGGTTTTGTTTTTGAGACAGAGCTACTTTGTAGCCTCGGCTGGCCTTGAACATGTTATCTTCCTGCTTCAGCCTCCCAAGAGCTAGGATTATCAGTGTATGTTACTATGCCTGGTTTGTACTGTTAGTTGCTTTTTTTGTGTGTGTGTGTGTGTGTGCTACTGGGGATCGAACTCGGGTCCTTGCACTTGCAAGGCAGGCGGCGAAACCACTGAGCTAAATCCCTGGCCCTGTACTGTTAGTTTTGTTTTGTTTTTTTTGGTAGTGACAATTTTCTATTGATGTGTCTATCAGAAATAGAGAAAAAAGTATAGACAGCTGCAATATTCAAGAAAAGTAGAAAAGGACCTATTTCTTTTTGAGTGAAAAATATTTTACTTTAAACAAAATTAGTCTGATGTAGAAAGAGTACAGTCTTACCTGCTTCACTTGTTTATTTCACTTATGTCCCTTGCATTGTTCTCTATCAACATTAGCTTGCGATCCCTACATTTCTGTGCAGGTAACTGAGGACTGACTGTCCAACAGCACAATTGAAGGTTCAAAAAAAGGTGAAAACAGTTTGTAAATCATTAAATTCCATGCAAAAGGAAGATATTTGCCTATTTAATCTGTTACTTACACCCTTGTTCCAGAAGGATTTTAAGCAGAGGTACTGGAAATTTATAATTGGAACCACCTGGTTTATCTGCACTATATTCATCAAATATCTTCTTCAGAGGTTGCAAATGAATGGTTTAGGATTTAGATAAAAAGTTTTTGTTTATCTGACTGCGCAGTAATTGGGAGGGCATCCCTTTGGGTGCTGGATATCAAACCAAGTGCCTCACATATGCTGATAAGCCACAGGCTCTACTGCTGAACTACATCTCAGCCCCAGTAGTTGTTTTTTTTTTTGTACCAGGGATGGAACTCGGGACCTTGTGCTTGCAAGGCAGATGGTGGAACCACTGGGCTAAATCTCCAGGCCCCCCCCCCGTAATTTTTTCAAATTGAACTTACTTTGAAAAGTAAAGTTCTACCACTGTCTTTTTTTTTTTTTTTTTAACTTGAGTCACGTTTTCACCTGAGTTGTTATTATTTGATTTGTAACCCCTTCTGATATCTTATAAGAATATGTAAAGCTTAAAAATAAATGCATAAAACTACAAAATACTACAAGTTAAAAGAGAAAAAAAGATACAGTAACAAAGGAAAGGATAAATAGAATCAGGATCTAGGCTCTAAAGGTATTTTATAATTTTCTTGTTACAGGCAGAGCACAGATTTAACTCTGAGTTTTCTAGGTGCCAGCAAAAGAAAAAAAAATAAGGGTAGGTTATTTTTCACCGTATCCTTAAGACAAAAAGAAACCAGTTTAGGGCCTGGGATTTAGCTGAGTGGCAGCACTCCTGCCTCACCAAGTGCAAGGTCCTGAGTTCGATCCCCGGTACCACAAAAAAAAAAAGTTTGGAAAGATAACCACTTGACACTTTTCATTGGGTTCCTCATAAAAAGGATTATATTGTATATTATTTCTTGTTTAACATTTCTAAGGTAAATAAGGACTATACTCACTTGATATGTGTTGAGATTAAGCTACTTGGCAAGTACCTAAACTATGGATATGCCATGCATCTCTCACAGACCATTCATGTGTAGGATTTAAATTCTTGTGTGAAAACCAAGTTTTACCCAAAATAGAATTTGTCGGAGTGCCTGTAGGTTAAAATTCTTAGAAAAAAATTTTGAATCTGCTAAATTCTTGTCTTTCTCCTTCTTTATAGTTTGAAGGTGGACAGAACAAGTTCTTCCAGAGTTTCCAGAAGTAGTAAAGTCATTATAAAAGAGATTTAAAGAAAAAGGGTATAAGGATACAACCCTATTTTTGTGCTGCTGGAAATTACTGTACTTCAACAGAAGACTGTTCCCATGGATCAGGACTCCTGCTAGTTTTCAGCACAGATTAAATCTAAGGAGGTATGGATTTTATTCATATCTGTAATAGGTATGACTCTCTTCCTTCTCATTAGGGTGTGTTCGGTATTGACCTTTAATCAGAAATAAGTAAGATTTTGACCTTCCTAGAACTACAGTTCTTTGTTTTCTGCTGAACCGCTGGAATTCAGAGTTGAAATCAAGAGTTATTTACTTTGTGATGACTGCCCTTTGTATTTCCCAATATGCCATCTTTAACTTCATCTTTTTAGCAATCTTGTATTTCCCAGCTGCTTAAAATTTTGCATTTAGGTATTTTGTCGTAGTTATTCAACATAGTTTTTCCTTCTTCCAAAAACTGCTTCAAAAAATTGCTAGTCATTTCCATCTTCTTTTTTAGCGTTTTGATTTATAATGCTGACTTGGTCAACCTTTAGCTTATATTTATTGTCTCCTTTCCCATCCCTACCTTCCCAACTCCTAAATGCATTCATTGTGTGTTCCTTTAGTGGACTGGTTTTAATCTTTATTTATGAACTCATAGCACAAAGCCTAGCGGGATAGAAATCAATGAGTGGATATGTTTAGCTGACATCTTCACCTGCTTTATAAGTTTCTTCTGGGCAGGAACTCTCAATATTGCTTTTATGTCCCACGTTGCTTTCTGTAGATACAGTATAAGGATTAAATAATGTGGTGGGACTGTATACAACACAGGTGTGTGTTGTTGAGTATGAGTATGGGGTACCTGATGGATCCTCAGTAAGTAAATGACACTGAGAATATAATTATTTCTAAGTTATTTTCCTCAGTGGAGATAAACACTGGTGTGGAAAATAATAAACTAGAAGTCAGTTGAGGGACACTGCCTGTTCTGTTTGGGTTGTCATGACTTCTGAGGAGTTACTCTTGAATGTAAACAGAGGATCTGCCCTTAGGACTGTGATCATATCCTAGAGAAGGCCATCTTCAAGACCAAGAGCAAATAGTGGACTGTCTTATAAAAACAAAAAACAATCCACTGGGCATGGTGGTGCATACCTATAATCCCAGATCTTCTGGGAGGCTGAGGCAGGAAGAGTGCAAGTTCTAGACAGCCTGGGCCATTCAGTGACTTAGTGAGACCTTGTCTCAAAATAAAGGGGTGAGGATGTAGCTCATGCCAAGGCCCTGGGTTCAATTTGTAGTACCACCAAAAAAACCACAAAACCCATCTTTGCAGAATTGGAGTTTGACCATAAAATTCTTCTCCAATCATTCCCCTTGCTTCCATCCTAGTTTAGACCTCTATCATCATCCACTGCAAGCCTTCTCTTGACTTTAATGTATCCTACACTTTACCTCTAGGATAATCCCCATGAAACACCAATTTCAGAACATTCCTCTCATTCTTAAAAATTATAAATCTTCCTGCATTGTCATAATTCCTTTAGGCCAGTGATGGAAACTCCTTTTGGAGTTTTCTTTTTTCTCTCTCTCTCATCTATATATGTTTTTTTGTTTTTTTCTTTTTGAATTTTTTTGAGACAGGATCTCATTGTAGTTCAGGTGGTCTTGAACACACTATATAGCCTCAGCTGGCCTCAAATTCATGGCAGTCATCCTGCCTCAGTCTTCCAAGTGCTGGAATTACAGGTGTGTGCCACCATGCCCAGCTAGAGCTTTCAATGCTAACAAACATCTGGCTACAGCAAGTGT